CCAGATCTAGCCCCAAGCGACTTCTTTTTGTTCCCTCATCTAAAAATTGCGCTCGGAGGACAGAGATTTTCGTCAAATGAAGAGGCAATCACCTTCGTGAACAATTATTTTGCAGAGAAAAACGCCGAGTACTATTTCGACGGGTTACAGAGATGGGAGCATCGCTGGGAGAAGTGTGTAGATTTACAAGGAGACTATGTTGAAAAATAAAAAACAATTTTCAGAAAAAATGACTTGTATCTTTGTTAGGTCGGAAACTTTTCAGACCACCCTCGTAGTTATCAGTTAATCGAGCCAAGGCAGTGAAAGGAGAACTTTTCTTCCGTATAAATTATTTCGAATGACGTGCTGTTTATCGAAATATTCCGGATAATCAGAAGTAGAAATCGGGATAATCGGAAGTAGAAATCAACGTAAAACGGAAGTTTAATTTCTACTACAGGGTATACGAGGTATACGAGGCGATCATTTATCTTATCTTTACATTCCTGATAGAAAATTTCGCGCATAATCAATGCGCGAACACAGGCCAGAATTCAGTTTCACAGTTTCTCGTTTGACGAAAGTAAATGTACACTTGCAAATGCTACACGATATTTTATAAGACTGCACATTAAGACGTCAAGCAACTACGTTGGACGATTTAACATTTTATATTTTTCATTCTGTGGTGATAAGCTCGGAAGTATGAAATTACAGTTTGTAGGAGAAATAAATTTTTCTTTAGATTGTTATGTTTTAAAAGACGGAACACGGCTCGCGTATATTTTTTACATAAATATAAAAATTTGCGCGTGCGTATTGTTTTATTTGTAAAAATATTGTTGATATTTGTAAAAATATTTTGATAAAAGATGCCTAGTATGTCGAACCACTGGTAATGAACGTTATTAGATTGTTTTCAAAATTTGTTTATTACTGATAAAACTAACGATTTTTCATATACATACTGGGATGCGGAAACATCCGAAAACATCATCAAATCGATAATCAATGGGTTGGTCCTTGCGTCAACTTATTAATATTTTAACCTATCGCATGTGAGATCGCGCTCTCTCATCATGTAAGCATATAAAGTTAAGACATTTCTTCTTAAGACGTTTCTTCTGCAAACCACATTTTCATAGTATCGAGTTGATTATGCGTTGAAACTAACTAATTCCCATGTTCGTATTCTTGCCGTCTCCCCTCGAAGCGCGTTGGGTCATCGGGACATAAAATTGCGACACTTGAAGTTTCATTGACTCCAACGAATAATTGTTCTCCGTGCGAGATACAAGTCTCTACGTATAATGAGCGGGACTATCGGGCTAGTTGTTTTCATGCGAAACAGATTAGTGCGCGACGTGAGAATCGCGGTATAATTCCCTGACTAAGACAGTTCGAATACCCGATTTGGTAAGACCTCGCGCAGCGTGATTGCACGCGCCGCGACGTTTATTGCCGTACTTATTATTACGTGATTCAATCTCAGGACGGAAATGCCACTGGACAGCTGGTAAACATTATGAACGCCTGCGGTTTTTCTAGTTTACTTTAGTCGCGTGAATCTATTGCTATTTCTATCATTGTTCTTACTGCGTTGCGCAAATCTCGTTACACTGGGGGATCATGTATTCTTTTCTCTCATAAAAATTGCGTATATTTGAAGTAACGTATAAAGTCAAAGTGCAAAGGACTATTTTACGATTGTTAATTTCGAAGTGCATAATTTTTAACGAATGAAAGCGATATCCAGAGAACGTTGGAGTCGCCGAGCGGCAATTTGCGGTGAGTGAACGTGGCAATTCGCCGACTTAATTTTCTTTTTATTGGAGAAACATAAAATTTGTCGTAGCGACACGATCGACGCGAAGAAACCGTATGAAGAAAGCGCCTTGCGCACTTGAACGCTTTGCGCTACTTTGCGCACGGGGTAATATCGTCCAGGCGCGCGCGACGTTCGCGCGTTAAAGATCAGACGATATCTATACGCAGACACACGAGACACTTAGTAATTTATCGCGCGCGATTTATGTAATTACCGCGAGCCCCGATACTTTCACGCATAAACCCACGGAATGAAATCCCGGTGATATTCGTGTGCGACGGGAAAATTATAACTTTCCACGTGAACGTAATCAACGATTAGGAATAATTGCGTCGGAGCTTTGGCCGTGTACTCGTTTCGCCGCGACGATGAAATTTGCATCGCTGCCACTTTATTCGCGCCGAACGCTGTTCCGATTTATCAAGTTGTTCCGAAGGCGATTCCATTTTCACTGCTTCTGGCGTCGATCGAGAACGCCTGGAAGCCTTCACTGATCTTCGTCTTAGATGATGAAAGCCACCGGCCGTCCGCCAACGATACCGCGGATGATCGTAAACGTCCAATTTGCCGCTCGGCCGTGGTTTTAGTTTGCAGAAGCGTGCGTTGGGACGATGAAAAAGGAACGCACTCTCGCGGTTGTTGCCAATTGCACGGTAAACTTCCAGCCTTGGAGAGTGCCCATCTTCATTATCCTTGCTCGTCTTAGTCGTCGCCGCCCGTCATGACTTCCATAAACTCTGAAAGCGCGCAAAACGCGGTGAGCGTTAGTATAATCAGGCGGCGCCTTGTGTTTCCCGCGGGCTGCGAACTTGGCGAACTACCTGAGGCGAGAGACTTATTGAATGTTCGATCGACTTTGCTATTAGCACTAGCTACACGCCGACGTTGACGTACGCGAAACGAATTTCCTTGGCTCAGGGCTTTGTAACTCGAGCGGATTTTAAATGAACTACTTGACTTCCGAGACGTGTCGTGTGTTGTCTTATCTTGCAAATTACACTTGTTAGGTAAAGCCTGCGGGATTTCTTAAGTATATTATTTTAAGCACGTGCTGTGCTCTTTGTAATTAATGACTGACAACTTTGGAATGTTTCTCGAGTATGCACTGTTGTGTAGTGTCAGATGTGTAAATTTTTGCGTAATTTAAAATACCAACAGTAGTTGATAGCTGTAGGTACAAAATATTTTCAGTGCACATCTCCCATGTTACAATAATATAAAATATACATTTTATGTATAATTAATGTAATGATTTTATGTATAATAATATATAATAATGTATGACTAATTATACAGTTTTTTTTAAACACCGGGTTTGGAAATTAAATTCTCAAGAGTTAGTTTAAATATTAGCTCATTAGTATTGATTAGTTACAACAACATGCAGATTAGGTTTCCTTATGCGGGATTAATGAGTAGTCAGCGTATCGCGCGATGCTAAAAATATAAGAAGCTCCGTGAAAAGAAATACCGTCAAAGTCGAGGGTCCCTGAACCGTCAGCGTCGATTTCCTCAATCATTAAGTCGAGTTCCTCCGGCGACAGTTTGTCATCTAGTTCGTGAAGAATGCCGCGAAATACTTCAGTGGTTATATAGCCGTTACCCTCTTTGTCATACAATCGGAATGCATCTCGTAATTCTTTCTGCAGTGCTTCCGTGTCTTCTTCTACTAAGAATCTAGCAGACAACGTGCAAAACTCTTCGAACTCGAGTTCTCCGGAACCTATTAACAGTAGAGATATGCGCATAAAAAAGTCAAGCATGCAACAGCAGATAATAGCATAGTTGAACGAACATTCGTTAAGTCCTCTCGCTTAAAGTGGCGAAAGAACGTTGTAGCTTTCCACTCACCGTCTTCGTCTACTTCCCTAATGATGTCCCCTAGCGTCTTTTCGTCCAGGTTGTAGCCCAACATGCTCAATATCGTGCCCACCATGTCGGTACCGATGCAGCCCTTCTTCTCATGATCGAAAGCGTCGAAGGCTTTCTTCAGAACTATTTGGGGAAATAATAATTTAATATTTCAGACATTCTTGCACACACAAACACACACCCTGATAAATTTTACAAAGGTATACTCACGAGCTATTTGGTCCTTGGTTAGGTCATCCTGCAATTGTCAAAAAAATACTGTCAGCGATTATCCAAGATATCAATATTGTCTCACTTTCGTCATAAATATGACATTTTCAAATAACAAAAAGAATTAAAATTGACCTCTTTACACATGAAAAATTAAAAATTTTCATTTCAATCAAGTTTATTCGTTACACGAACTTTAATTGTGCGTTTGTTTACTGTAATTTGTGTTGCGAGAACGCTGTTTCGCTGTTTAGAGAATTATTCTCGTGTTCGTAAAAGTTCAGAGACTTACCATGGCGATGTTAGCTATACGCGCTTCCCACGGTACGTTGGCGTCGACGGTTTATCGGAGTATGCACCAGATTCTAGCCGTGGACTTCTGTTTTAAGTGGTCATAACGATGATTCCCCTGGCACGTGATTGAACAGGTAGTAGTACCTACATCCCAAGTCTAGTGGTTTTCAAATTCATCGAGGACGCTCGCCCCACTACGGCTCCATAAACGCGCTTCAATTGTGCAGTCTCGCGGCAACATACCTAACTTCGAGAATCACTCATGCCTTTAATAGTCATACGTTCGATTAGTCGACGAGTGTTCCAAAAATCTTGACGTTCCTGCATTCGCGGAATTAATGGGAGCGTGTTGCGCACGATCAATCATGATCGCGATGATTAACTGCGATACGAGTCGTTTGACATTCGGATGCAGCTGCATCGATTCCATTAAAGTTTATTTGATGTTTAATCTTAAAGTACTTTAATTACGGTAAAATAGTCTCGAGTCTTTTTTGGCGGAAGGCCGTTGATGCAACGCTTTATACTATTATTATTGATTGCCCACGTCGCCGCAATAATCGAGACCTCACAAGCGACCCATTATGAAACATTGTAATGTCTCGGAACGCCGAAATTTATGAGCGGCACGATGTGTGACTGGTTACGTGAATGCAACAATAGACAGACAGAGTTGGCTCATGGCCGGAGACAGTATAGACGGGTAAGACAGACCCAAGACGGTTCTATGCAGCAACCCGTGCGCGTCTTTATTCTTAGACTCCTAATTATAAGCTCATAAAGCCCGGCTACTATTATATTTAGGCGATTTTATCGTCCATTCCGGAATACTACCGTTTGCTGTCGTGCTCATTGTCGAGCTCTCCCGAAGCACGCGCTACTCCGTCCCAACCAAGTTCACAATAGATTATGATTGCTATTACAACATCGGATGTGTAACGTCGCGACTGGTGCGTGCGAAGCACGTGCACCGCCACTGCCAACACGCGCAGGTTATATTTTCAGATGTGCACTGATGACAGCTACAATTAATTGCAGGCTCTCTAAGATACAGTGAAAGATTACGGAGAGTCGTAAGAGCACCGCGTTTTCTCATGAACACACACACACACACACACACACACACACACACACACACAC